GAGTGTTGATAGTTGATAAAATAAAATACTTAATTTAGTTAAAGGAAATATGCCACAGAGAAAAAATAAGAGTAAATATTTCATAAGTAGAAACTTAAAGCTGAAATTTTGTTTCCCTTTCCCTGCTCATGAATTTTGATGGATTTCTGGACCTGGAGGGAGAGAGTTTCTCTGAAATGTGCCTTACAAGAAGTATGGCATTCCACTGAAGATTCAGAGACTGTCTGAGCTGGAAGTGGCTGTGGCCACAAAACACCAAACAATTTGTGAGGCAGTCCTGGATTTGTGAGGCAATGTTTCTGCTGCTTCATTGTGCCTACAGGAAGACATTTTAGTGGCTGAAATACAGTTTCAATATTTTCCTTTGCATTCAGGAAAGCTCTAAAGATGACAACAGCTAAATTCATGGAATAGTCACCAAGTGTCAGAGACTGTGCTCAGAATTTTTCTTTTGTTGTCTCATGCAATCCTCACCTAAATTAAGTTCCAGGTGAACACCAGATGAACATCATTGTTATTGTAATTTTAATGATGAGAAAAACAAGGAGGAAAGAAGCTAAGGGACTTGTCCAATATCACATGGTTGTTAGTAATGGAAACAGGATTCTAACCTAAGCAATTTCACTCTAAAACCTTGTTCTTTTTTGTTGCATAATCTATGAATTAGGCATTACCTTGTTCTTTTTTGTTGCATAATCTATGAATAAATGTATATGTTGTTGTTTAGTGCCATTGAGTCGGTTCCGATGCGTAGTGACCCTGTATAGGGTTTCCAAGGAACAGCTGGTGAGCTTGAATCGCTGCCCTTGCAGTTCAAACAGCTTTGCAGTCTGGTGCATTAATCCACAGCGCCACACCAGGACTCCATAAATGTTTATACATATATATTCTCTATATAGATACATATGTTTGTATGCTTATAAAATGCAGAAATACTTCATGCCTAACATAATATATATGTTGTTCCATATCATTAAATGCATCATAAAGTCATTTAAAATCACTGCATAATCTGTTGTATCAGTATACCACAGTTTGTTTGGTTAGTCTTGTTGCTAGGTACTAATTTGCTGTATTTTCCTCTCACTAATTTCTTTTTAGTCCTTACTCTTCTCATACTATAATCTCTGACTTCAATATTCCCTCAAACTTTATATCCTCATTTGTAAAATAACAATAATACTATGGATATGATGACAATACTCCTCACTGAGTAATTAAAAAAAAATATATATATATGGAATATTAGCTGTTATTAGAATAATTATTGTTATTTTAAATAGAATATTCTTACTGACATGTAGGGAGGTTCTAGATGACCCTGATTTTCTCCATTAGCTTACCAGCATATAATTTGTAATGCATAAATGTATTGAACAAAAAGGAAAAGAAGTTTGAAGTTTTTCATTTTTTTGAAATAAATTACTCAAAGATATAAAGGTTGAAATAAATTTTAGCTCGCAAATTTGTCTCACAGTTTCAACATTGACCAACAAGTCACCGGTCCAGGTTAAATGCAAGGATTTTGAGTTTACTGAATAGTGTTTGTCCTGTGTTCTTTCCTCCCTGTTAATATTTTGACTCTCAATGTAACCAGAAAATGATTCCAAGAACATTTATCTACCAACTATTCCCCTTAAATAAATACATTATACCCATTTTAAAAATCATTTATGATTATTTGGTGCAAAAAAGGAAACTATTTCAGTATGTGCTTAATATTTTTTTTCTTTCCTCATTTATTTGTTGTTGTGAAAATCAGCTGTGGCCTTGGTTTGAATCTTAACAGCCTTAAAAATGGACTCATTTAAAATATATGTGATATCATATGTGTCCTGGTGTGGCGCTGTGGGTCAATGCGCTGGGCTGCAAAGTCAGTTTGAACCACAAGGTTGATGGTTCAAGCTCATCAGTTGCTCCTCAGAAACCCTATGCAGGGTTGTCAGAACTGACTTGATGGCACTTAACAACAACAATATATGTTATTGCATGTTGTTGTTTAGTGCATCTTTAAAATAGACAAACTATTTATAAAAGAGAATCATAGGCATGTATAACGAGAGCTAAGTCTTTACTCTTTGACTCTTAAATGTAGTTGTAATCTCCATGAATATCATATATATCAAATGACTTACTAAACAACCGTTTATGTGTGTGTGACAGAGAGACAGAGGGAGGGAGATTGAGATTATACTTATATTTTAGTAATTTTCCTTAAGAAACTTAGTAGCTTTATATTTTGTCATTTAATATTAAAAGCAGATTCAAACATATTTCACCTACTGAAAGAAAGGTTGCTGATTTAACATAAAGTTTAATGGAAGAATATGACAACAATTGCCAAGATATTTTTTCTTTTATTTAAAACATTAACTATCACAATACACCATACAATGAAACAAAGACTTTCAAATGACATAGTAACTTCTGAAAACATCTCTATATAGTCACAAAACATGAAACATGCTTCAGGGGTACAAATATAGCTTGATACCAAAATCTCAGTACATGTTCACTGTGTAAACAAACAGGGAAGCACAAGACTATATATACAGCTGTTTCCTTCCTTTTCAGCAGGAGCTGATGTGACTGCATCCAAGAAACAAATACAATTTATTTCTTGAGAGACTATAACATTGGAAGGCTTTACAATTTTATTGAATACTGTGCTTTGTGGAGAAATTGCCAGATTTTCAGTTCAGTAGGAGTAATCATCTTAGAATTACAACACATGTTTTACAACACATATTGGCACAATATGAAAAATAAACACTTTTTTTGAGTTCTCAACTCAAACAACAGTTATTATTAAATAAATAATTATTCCTTTTATTTTACCTTTCATTGGCCATTGACACAAATGAAGTTCAATAAATAATACATTAAGGAGTTTATTTACGTCTTCTTTCATAATTTTGCATTGCACTCCTTTCATAAGCCACTGAAAATAAAATGTAAAGTGTTTTTTAATAGGATGCACTGAGAAAGTTAAATAAAGCAAAAGGCATGACATAATTTATGTTAAATTCAAAATGATTTCTACCCTCTGTTGAAGTTTTCTTAAGAGTTTATTTCCCCCTCTTCCAATGCTTCCATCGTCTTCATTCTAAATGGAAGTGAACTCACCACAGAATCTTGGCAATTTTGGGTCTCTCTCATAGCCTTATTGCCTACAAGCTTATATCCACAATAAAATGAAATGTTTATTCTTACTTAGCAGTTTTCTTAAGCAGTAGCAGATACAGTGAATTATAGAAAGGAAAAGGTCAAAATAAACATGGATAGTAGTAAGATCCTACTTCTAGTGTGGCGCTGTAAGATCAGCACTGGACTGTGAACCACAAGGTTGGTAGTTCAAACTCACCAGATGCTCCTCAGAAACCTGATACAGGGTGGCTATGAGTCAGAATGGACTCAATGGCACTTAACAATAACAACAAAAATAATAGTAGGATTAACACAAAATGTGGGACCTTTATTTTAGGAAGGGGTGGACAAACTACATTCTATGGGCCAAATCTAACCCAAACTGTTTGTGTAAATAAGATTTTATTAGAACATGGTCAATTCCATTCTTTCCGTATTGCCCATGACTGCTTTGGCATTAAAATAGTAGGTAGAAGTAGCTGCTATAGAGATTGCAAGACTCAGAAAGCCTAAAATATTTACTGCCTGGCTCTTTACAGAAAAACCTTTGCTCATTCCTGTTCTGGGGCCCCTATTGGTGTAAAGGAACCTTCTTCCTCTCTTTCGGGTACCTCCCCATGATTGTTCTGGAGATTAAAACAAGCCTCATTCTCTATAAGTCCCATACCACACGCAGTGCTGCTGAGTTGCTTCTGACTCATATCCATCTTCCAGGGCAGAGTAGAACTGCCGCACAGGGTTACCTTGGCTGGGGTCTTAACAGGAGCAGATGGCTAGATCTTTTCTCCTTGGAGATCCACTGGTGAGTTTGAACTGTTGACCTTTCAGTTAGCATAGGAGTACTTAAAAATTGCGCCACCAGGGTTTCTCTTCTCATTGACTGCCTTAACAATACTCCATCGCTGACCAGTTAATCCCAACTCATGGCAACCCTCTAGGACAGAGGAGAACTGCCCCAGAGGATTTCCATGGACTCCTTGTATGATGCTGGGAGTTTTCACCATCTAAGCTAATGCTTTATACATTTAGATTTATGTTACAGTGAAACTATTGTACTTTTAAAAATTCACTATGCCTTCTATCAAAACACTGAGTTTAATCAGAGACAGTAGGCAGATCTGTGAAAAGTACTCATGGTGTTCCTCACAGCAATTTCCTCAATGAGCAGCTTTGTTGTTGTCATTGTTGAGTGACATTGAGTCGGTTCATACTCATAGCAACCCTGTATAAGGTATCTGAGGAGCAGCTGGTGGGTGTGAATCAACAACCTTGTGGTTAGTAGTCCAGTGCTTATTCTACAGCACCACACTAGAATGCCAAACTTTGGGTAACATGATTTTGATCCTCAGAGAAGTGAGGTGAACACTAATATACACTAACTCAAGGCAGATTTGTGATTTAGTTGGAATACAAAATCCTTTCGACTGGAAAAAGGGGCTCTTACTTGGTCCTTGAACCCTCTGAAACCATAAGTAAACTTTTGTGGGTACTAGCTGATGAGGGCTGAAGATGATGGGGAAGGGGTTTCTAAATGTCATCAGGTTGTCGAAGGAGCATGTGACCACAAAAGGGTAAAGATCAAACAGACGCAGAATGATAATCATGGCTCAACTGAGTATATGAAAACTTTTCATAATTTTTATCTGTTTTTTTCCTTTTGTATTTCCTTAACTAAAATGTAGGAACACAGATTTAGTCATAAATTAATTCTGATTCATTACTATGCATCTATTTATTACTAACCTTAATTATACCATTACTTTAAATAAATTTAATAGTTTGTAATCTATCCTAAATTGCACAATATCTGTATTATTTATAAAGTTAAGTATGTCCTAAAACCTGTATCAATACTGAAAATGGCTGCTGATTAATATGAGTATCATGAAAAACACAACTAATGCCCACTTCTCATTCTGGTTACTTCTCTAAAATTTAAATTTGGGCAAACCCAAAATTACAGTGAAAGAAATACAAAGGTAGTATCTGAATTTGGAAAGTGGAAAAACAATGCAAATAATAGGATGCATCAGTTTTACATGAACTTTTGCCTTTTATTTATACACTTTCTAGAAACCAGTAATATTTTAATGGGTAAGACAGCTGCTAATCACTTTTCAATTAAATAAATGGTTAGTTGTTTTAATGCTATATTCACCTAAAGTAATATAAAAGAAAAATTTAATAGCTTTCTTAAGGAACCTGAGCTAAGAACCATAAAGTTGAAATACACTTAACAAAAATATAAAAATGTTGTCTCTTTGAATAAAGTAATGCGTGTAGTGACCTGAGGATAAAACATAAAATATTTAAATTTCAGCAAATTGCTTAAGAACTGACTGAAGCTGTGCCAACACTTTATGCAATATCAAGGCATGACCATCCAGTGTCTGGACATCAATGGCTTCATTATAAAAGGCTGAAGTATTAGAATAGTAACTAAATGAGGAATATATAAACATGTACTCATGCTAGACTTTCTTTTCATAAGCAGTCTTTACTGGAGAAAGGGAATTTCTTCACTGGTATACTTTTTTAGTTGCAGAGGTCTTTCCCTGGTCATTTCTATTATTCAGAGGCAATTTCTTTACAGCAAAACCAAGAGGTCTTGCAAATAATTTAGGCTCCTAAAATGTTTCCTAAATTATCAAACTTATTTGGAAAAGCCCTAAACATTTAACATCAGAATTGTTTCAACTCTTCAATATGCTTTTAAATATTACAATTGGTTTCTTCAGCCCATAATTTTGTAAACTGTGCTGTTTCTGATTATACAATTATTTCATCCTTCTTTTTCTAGATCAAGGGAAAATATCTGAGGAAGGATCCTTTAAAAATTACAAACAATTTTGCAATGCAAAACGCGGGCAGGGTTCAGAAAAGAAGAATTCAAGTATTTTCCATGATTAAGTATGTTATTGTTGTTAAGGGCCACAGAGTGTTTTGTAGTTATCCTGACCCTCTTCGGGTTTCCCAGGAGCAGCTGATGTGTTTGAACTGTTGACCTTGTGGTCCACAGTCCAGTGCTGATGGTACAGCACCACACCAGGCATTCATGTGGTAAAAACATGTTGTTGTTAAGTGCTGTAGAGTCAGCACCCTTGTATAGCAGCTACCTAATCTTGAAACCAATATGATGACCAAGTTAAGAAATAAGGGCTTTCAGATATACTCATATATATGGATATTTACATAGAAGATGAAAATAAAAGAGAAGAAAGGAAAGATGCAGAGTAGGTATCAAATGAAAGAATTGTTTAGAATTAAAATGGGTTATAAAGAGGATTCTGACATCCCTTCTTAACAGTTTTAGACCAGAACTCATCTATAATACTCTCAGATTACCTGGTTATATTCCTGTTTGAAGGCACTAAAATAGAATATACAATTCTCAAGCATCCATTAGAGCATTTACATTTTGAATTTTTATAATTTTACAAAGAGCAAAAGGTTTATACATAATAGATATTTATTGTTATTTTTATTTGTTGAAAGACTGTCAGATGCAACTTTTAATAAAATTTGTAAAATAATTCTGCAACAAGTGAAGATTAGACTAATTTTAAATACCTTTCCTTCTTTTAATGAATTTAAATTCATTCAGGGTAAATGTGACTTACATAGCTGATCTAAGGCAAAGGCTAGTCCAAAGATTCCGGTTAGGTAATGATGAAATGGGGCAGACACAGCTAAGACTGGTGGTTTGAGAAAGATAGACTGATATTGTGGTGATATTATGGCTTAATCACCTATAAATCTATTCTTGGTTAAAAGTATTGAAATCAGATTTTTTTTCTATCATTAGTACTCATTTATATTATTCTTTTTTAATATTGAAAACTATTTCTTAGAAATAAAATAATATAAGTAGATTTAAGACACTATCTATTTTCAGTTATGATTTATATACATACCAGAATTTAAAGCTCTTTTGCCCATTAGTCCAACAAAGGAATCTGTTTTATGCCCTGGAAAATACATTTAGGGGTATTTTAATATGTATGTCTTTGAGGAAAAAACTGTTATAACTTGTACAAGATTTAAAAAACTTCCAAATATATGCCTAGATAGTACATATGTATCCATTTCAAGCTTTTGTGAGCTTGAAGGACGAAGTTTCTAAGTCTTACAAATGACATTAAAACAATACCATGAAATCACTTTGCTCAATTATACATCTAAATATTAATAGGAATTATTTATTAGTATTATATATACCTTTAATATAAAGTTTTAAATATTTCTTGAGCTGGCTTTGACCTTTAGAGTTTATTTCACATTTGTGTAACAGAGCAATATCCAAGCTTATTTTCTAATTTACTAAATATACTTTATTTCTAAGCAACTGGATCTTAGTTAAGTCAAATACTTATACTGATGATTAGAAACTTTTAAAAGATCCTATTTCTATTTTATAGGATTATTTTAATACCCCTTTTGGAAAGGTGTATTAGTTTTAATGTTAACAGAGAACAGTTATTTTCATTATATAGAATTTACTATATATGACTTTCTAGGAAGGCAAATCTTAGAAAGCAAATATGAATGTTTTACTTATTTTCAAATATGAAAACTTTGCAGCAGGTTATCCTATTGACTCTGGTGAGACAATTTCTGTTGGCTTATGCTATCCTAGCTGAGAACAGATTTTCTACCTTATTGGCCTTCGCTGCCACCCAGTGAGCAGGGTGAGTGACACCCAGGCTCAGACAGGGTGAGTGAGTGGACACTGTCATTCTGATGAATCCTTATGACTCCCTTGCCAACACTGATTCCATTAACTAAGAAACAGGGATCTAACGGTTCAAGGACCACATTCTGCCACTATTACAGCCCTAAAAAATGTTTCATCGCGCACTGATTAAGATTTCCCATACAATTAGGGGGTTGGAAAACTGCAGCTCTATCCATCTTGATCTTTAGTATAGTTTCTTTACTCAAATACTCCACTTAATTAGCTGCTGGATTACTGTAATCAATGATATTTTTATAGGACTCCAAATAGTAAAATGAACTAAAAGATGACTATAAACACTTTGTTTTTGTTATTGCAATGAAGTATGGAGGTGTGTGGTGGATTTTTAGCCCTAGGATTGAGTTTTATAGGCATTAAGGATTTCTTCTTCTTCTTCTTCTTTTGTTTTTAGCACCTTAAATCAACAACAAGCATTTACTCGCAGTTTTTGTGGGTCCTGAATGCAACAGCTGTACAGGGTCGCTATGGGTCGGAACCGACTCGACGGCACTTAACAACAACAACAACAACAAATGCAACAGCAGCTTAGTTGAGACTTAGATTTTTTAAACATAAAGTATTATTTTGGAAATAAGATAAGTTTAAACAACATGCCTTTAAACAACTATGCTCTGAATGTAATATGAGTCTCCTCCTTTCTTGTATTGTGTCAATTAAAAACATTAAGACTTAAGTCAGCACAGAAAATGAGTAAGATGTTCTATAAAGTGGAGTCCAATCTAAGTTACATTTGTAATTGATTAATGTCAAAATTGTGAACTTACTTTTATGAGAAATCTGGCCATGCCCTAGAAGAAAGAAAAATAAAATTAGTAATCACAAATAGATTTATTTTAAGGAAGTTACATTATATCTCTGTAACAAGAGTGACAACATGAATTGATTTTAAAAATATGTGATATTTTCCTTTCACACACTATCCTGAGAAATATAGTAGGACTATAAATACTAATCAAATTATTGATAAAACCAAAGGAATACTTATTAAGTGCTTTTTATGAGCCACAGATTCAAATCCAGGACTGTGAGACTACCAGGCAGGCTTGTTAGAGCACAGCGCCTCTGCCTCTCTGTTTTCTTATAAAAATGCATCTCCAAGGCCATCTGCCTATTTGATCCTCAGAGATATATGCAAATCCATCTCTTTATTAAACAGGCATAGCCCAGATCTTGTATTTCAGCTCATAAATTCCTGGATGTACATTCACAATAACAAAATAAAGATGTATAGGAATGTTTACCATAAAGCGCCTTTAACAGGGCCACTTGTTTTTCAATTGAGGAATCTGACAAGAGATGAATTGACATTAACTATTTATATGTTCCACTGAAATTGCAATGAATTCAAGGAAACAATATTTCTATCATGATCCACCCAGTAATCAAATCTGATCTAAGCTCAGGGAATGCGCTGAAATTGCTGGAAATTCCACATGCATTTAGAGTGCCACCCACTTGAAGTTGCATGCCTTCCATTCTTTGTCAGGTTGGGATTTTTATTAAAGACAGCGCTTGGCTGAGATTGAGTCTCCTTCATGGTGGTCTAATACTGTCAGGAAAGGGCCTGCCCAGCCTTCCCATGAGCATTGTTAACAGAGGTGAGGACCAGAGTCAGGCTGGAGAATTTTGCCCCTCCTTAGGGTGGAAATGCCTGCTCAAACAAGGAGAGAGACTAGGAGCACAGAGACAGGGCAAGCAGGCAAGACGGGTTGCCCAGACACAGAGGGACGGTTGCCCATCTCACCAGCATCCCGTTTGCCCATTAATCCAAAGAACTGCTGAGGCTTGGGTCTCCGGGCGATTCTCTGCAGAAGGTGCTCAAAGGGCTCGGGCAGCTCCTCCTAAGAAACACACGCACGCACGTGTAAACAGGTGAATAGACAACCAGAACAAGGCGTAGCTTGACCCGAACCAGTCTCCTGGTGGGCTCCAGCCCTGGGCTGGTCATGCGGCCCGCAGTGAAGACTGACCCAGACGGGAATTCAAATCCATAAGGAGATGAGAGAAGGGTGGACCCCCCACGCTGGTATTTAGTGGGGTCCACTGGGACACTACCTCTCTCCGTCCCTTCCTGCGATCTCTGTCAGCATCACCTCCTCAAAGCCCTGTTCTCAGACCTACTTGCTTTCCGCTCCCTGCGGGAGACCCTCATTCAGCTGCCTCACAGACATCTGGTTTTGCTTCACTTCTAGCGCCAGCTTTGAAGACCCCCGCCCGCCCCACCATAAATTCGCAATGTGTGTGTGTGGTGAAGGAGATGGGACGATAGTGATAAAGCTTTACAAACCACCTGGTCCACTCGCCAGTGATCTGAGACCAGGAGAACAATCGAGTGGCAACTTGTGACCATGGTCTCAGGGCCATAAAATAAATGTCAAAGCAGGAGTTAGCATATCACCTACTGGTGCTGCAGTGGTTAAATCGCGGAGCCACTAACTGACAGGTTGGAACCCACCATTTCTTCTCGGAAGAAAGATGTGGTAGTCTGCCTCCGTAAAGTTTACAGCCTTGGAAATCCTAGAAGGCAGGACCCTATCCTATAGGGTTGCTATGAATCTTAATGGATTTGAAGGCGGCGGCTTTGGGTTTTTGCTCTGTCTCTCTGAGTACCCTGCAATGTCCCCTTGCCACCGCGCCCGCCTTTGCCCCTGCCTAGTCTCCAGTCCTCGAAAATCTCGTTACTGTGGCGTGAACCCAATTCTGAGCCTGTGCGGACTCTGGGTCTAATTAGGAAGGTGGTCATCTTTTCTCCAACGAGGTCCTGGAGGTCTGAGGGTTCATTCCTCAGGAGCAGGGGACACCTGGACCTTGCCTGCAGTGCAAAATCTTGTGCAGGACCCCGGGAACCACATCCCATTAGCCCCCATGTGACTCCACCGCCTTTGACTGAGGTTATGTTGCTCCGTTTTCCAGTACTAACTACACAGAAGGGTGACAGCTCTGGAGCCCAGGACGAGAGCCGCCCAGAGACAGGGTCTCACCTTCATCTGGTCGCTGTCGGACCAGTCGGACCAATAATTCAGATCATCGTTGGCTCTGATTTCTTCTGCAAACAGTTGAGTGGAGACGAGAAAAAAGGCTGCCACGGCCACGAGGAATTTCATGTTGGATTTCTGGGAAGACAAGGGAGAGAAAAAGAGACTGGGGCTTGGGGAGAAATAGGGAGGAAGAGAGTGAGAGGAGAAGGGAGAAGAGACGGGGAGTAAAGAGAGGGAGGGAGAGAAAAAGGGAATGAAATGAATGTATTAGAAGAAGCTATTCAACATCTGGGACAGAATTTTCAGCTCCACGATTGAATTCAGATTCAGCTGAACACAGAAAACAGCCTTAAGGACTAATTTCTTGCCTGCATCCTTTAAGAAGGAGAATCACCCTGTAGGGTGTTCAAATCCCGGCGCCTCAGGATCCTAACTCTCCTCTGCTCCCCAGCCCACAGGATCTAGCTAGGAGCCTCTGCAGGCGGAAGACAAAGGACACACTGGGTTTGGGAAACTCCTCTCCACTTGTCCCGCGCCCAGGTGAGGTGTCCCGCCACATCCAAGCGCAGAGCCCGGGGAACTGATCGGACGCGGACACTCACTGCGGAGGACAGGCCGGGGTTCCTGCGGCGCGTCTGAGACCTCGCCTGGCGCCCTGCGCTCTCGGCTGCCAGCGGTGGAGGAGGAGGAGGTCCGAGCGCACTCTTGCCTTTTCAGCGCCAGGCGGTATTTATCCCCGGCTCGACGAGCCTCAGGACCCACGTGACACACTCCCCACGCGACTTTCTGCTCAATATTTAATTAGCCGCCTCCTCACCTTTTGCTTGCGTCTGATTGAGAGTTTCCGAGACCGTAACCCGTCGGTGCCCATAACATCTGGACCCAATTGGGTTCAAAATGACGCAGTTTTAGGAAAGTCGTTTTGCCATCCAATCCGGAACAGCCTATCTTCTTCCGTTTGCATACTAGAGGCCCCTGGCCGCTCCTTCAGAATGGGGTTCCACAACACCTGAGATTACTCATCAGAATGGAGCAAAGTGACTCATTCCTTGGACTTCGGCAACTTTTCTGTCCCTTGAGACGTCTTAAATTGTTCTTTTAAGGATAACAAACAGCTTCAGATATTAAGGCATTGACATTGGCAATCAGTTTAAAAAAGGAACATCTCAATTGACAGAAAAGCACTGTGTTTTTCTATTTCCATCTGCAGAGTGTCTTAAGTGTTTCTGCGATATAGATAATATATTTCTAAGACTCGAACATCCCTCTCCTAAGTAAGAGTACTGGCGTTTTCAGCATTACAAATGGATTTCCAGTCCCATAATATTTCAGATGATGGAAGCAGATTTATTTCACATTTTGGAGAAAGAGGAATTTAAACGTGGCATTGTATGCAGAACTTTCTTTTATATCAATGCCATCCTAGGATATCCTTCCCCTCCTCCCCCAAGAAGGAAAGGGGGTTGTGTTTTCTTCCTTGTCACCTCCAGGAGTAGAAGAGGGCTTTATTGCTCTTCTTTTATCCTTTCTCTATACAGACTAGAAAACCAGCAAGACAGTGTGCCGGACCCTTATTGGCCTCTACAGATCATTCATAGATATCTCCTGTATATGAAAGTAAGTGAAGATGCTACTTGGGGGCAGTTATTAACAGCATGAAACTATTAGACAAATAACATCCGTATAGAAATCACAGCTTTTTATGGGTTCATGTTTTATCTTGTAGACACATTTCTTTCGCCTTGAAATGAATTAAATGATGCTATAATTTCAGTGTTGTTTTCTCCCTTTTATATTTTTCTAAATATTTATTTAAAAAAACTTATATTTTTCAGTTAATTCTGATTTTTTATTATAGTTGCATAAAGGGAATACATTTTTTTGCAGCTAGATTAAATCAACAATGTTTTCCCTCTAATATTTGTTGTTTGTTAAGTAATCCTGTATTTTGAAATACCCATTCATCTTTCCCATTTCTTATGACCTAGGCTTGCAAGGTGAGGGATTTATTTTTTGTTTTTAAAAATCTTTTATATAGAAAGTTGTAAACATATTAAAAAGGAGAGAGAGCCAGTCAGCTGAAACAGTTTGTAAGTTTCACCTACCACTAGCTGCTGTCTAGTTGGTTCTGACTCATGGCAACCCACCCCTCCTTCAACTCCTTCAACTCTGATTATTTTGGAATAAGTCTTAGATATTACACAGTTTCATGTGTAAATATTTCAGTATGTCTTTCTAAAAGGGAAGAATTTATTTAAACAGAAATACCATGCCACTATCTTATCAAAGAAGCCTTGGTGTGGCACTGTAGAATTAGCACTGGACTGGTAACCACAAAGAAGGGGGTTCAAACTCACCAGCCATTCCTCAGCAACCCTATGCAGGGCTGCTATGAGTCGGAACTGACTGCAGAGCACTTAACAACAGCAACAACAACAATATCTAATATAAAGGTAATTTAAAGTAATTTCTTGCTAGTTAAGTTCCATAAACTCATGATGAACCCACGTAACACAATGTTTAAAGGATCAGCTGCTAATTGAAAGGTCAGCAGTTTGAACCCATCTGGCTACTCATCAGAAAAAGGACCTGACAAACTGCTCTGGTAAAGACTGAAGCCTAGAAAATCCTATGAGGACACTTCTCTGCCACAGGGGATTACTAGGAGCCGGAAGTCAACTCAGCAACACCTAATAACAACAATCTGTAGTTTCCCATCCCCCCTCTTCTATCCCTTCAAGATTATTGATAAAACAGTTCGTTTTCCAGTAGTGTCGCACATCAGTTTGCTGATGGCCTCATCATGGTTTCTTTAAACCTGTTATATTGTTGTTAGTGTGCGCTGTTGAGTAGGTTCAAACTCTGTATAGGGTTTCTGAGGAGTGCTGGTTGGGTTTGACCCTCTGACTTTGGGGTTCGCAGTCCAGTGCTCATCCTAGAGCACCACACCAAGACTCCATTAATTCATTGTTGTTAAGTACCATTGAGTTGGTCCTGACTCATAATGACCCTGTATAGTGTTTCCAAGGAGGAGCTGGTGAGTTCAAACCATTGACCTTGTGGTCAAGTGCTTATCCTGCAGCACCATACCAGAACTCCATTAATTCATTAGTGCTTTTCTGTTTTGATTTTATCCCTCTCTCTTTATTTACTTGGAATATTTGGTGCTATAAGATAAGCATTGTACTGTTATCTGAAATGTTGGCACTCCAAATTCACCAGCTACTGGAGGGCAATTAACTAAATTTAGTCCATATAAAGCCAAACTTACCTTTCTTATCAATTATTTAGTTACTTTGAGGCATTGTTACTATAGGAAAGATGGGATAAATGTTTGATTATTTTCTCTACCAGTTTTTAAAATAGTGAATTGGTCAATAAGCACCTTTAAAGGGAGCTCTGGTAGCGTAGTGGTTATGAATTGGGCTGCGGACTGCATGGTTAGCAGTTCAAAACTACCAGCTGTTCCACGGGAGAAAGATGAGGCTTTCTGCTCCCGTGAAGATTTACAGCCTCGGAAACCCTGTACAGGGTTGCTATGAGTCAGAACTGACTCCACGACACATAACTACCAAAGAAAGCCAAGTTTTTATTTGAGGATTATTATGAACTCATGGATTTAAACATAGTTCAAATATTTCAATCCTTGGAAAGCATTTTATCAAATTACCCACTTGGCTGTTGTTGTTGTTGTTATGTGCCGTGGAGTCGGTTCCGACTCATAGCGACCCTATACAGGGTTTCCGAGGCTGTTAATCTTTACGGGAGCAGAACGCCTCATCTTTCTCCCGCAGATCAGCTGGTAGTTTCGAACTGCTGACCTTGTGGTTCGCAGCCCGATTCGTAACCACTACGCTACCAGAGCTCCTTAGGCAATTCATATTGACTCCTGAGACTTTGGTATACCTTTAATAGGCTTTCTTGTGTTTTGTTATGACAAGGTGTTCCAAATTTCATTCTGTTGTCCTTACCCTAGATCTGGAATCTGACATTAGAGATAAAAGTCTGGGTATTATGGGTACACAGTGTTACTGAGTTCTTCATTGGTTCAGTGGATTGTTGTATGCCTTAGAGTACAACTCATAGCCAGCCTTTGCAAGAGGGTAGAACTGCTTCTAGGTGTGGTCCTTATGGGAGCTGATAGCTAGGTTTTTTTTCTCCTGCAGAGCTTCTGGTTGGTTCAAACTGTGGGCCCTTCTGGTTAGCAGCTGAACTCTTAGCTGAACTCATAGCTTGTCATTGCTACACTAGGACTCTTGCATGGTACCAGTATGTCCAAAAACAATGTGATAACTAGAAGCAGAAAAAGAAGTTAATTTTCAATTCTTTTATTAGGTTACATCACACTATGCACATTCAGTCAAATTACTGTGTTTTAACAGGTGGCTGAGCTTAAACCGAAAAGTAGGTGGTTCAAAGCCACCAGCTACTCCGTGGAAATCCTTTGGAAACCAGGGTTGCTATGAGTTGAAACTGACTCAATGGGAAGTAACAACACTCTAAGTCAGTATCAACTTGACAGCACCTAACAAGAACAACAAAGTTACTTTGAATGTTCTTCCCTATATTTTGTTGTTGTTGTTAGGTGCCATCCAGTTGGTATTGACTCATAGTGACCCTATGCACAACAGAAGGAAACACTGCTCAGTCCTAGGCCAACCTCACAATTGTTGCTATGTTTGAGCCCATCGATGCTGCCACTGTACATTCCATGTTCCTGTTATTAATGGATGTTTACAGCTGTTTCTCTTCCTTTTGAATTGTGATCCATCAGCAAATGAATGTCCCAACGACTTTACTCCTTTTGCATCATCCTGGCCAACTCTACTTTGAGGAGGACGTTCTTCCCTAGTCACATTTTGAATGCCTTCTAACCCGAGGTGCTTATTTTTGGTCACTATACCTGACAGTGTTTTACTGCTTTTCATAAGGTTTTCAGTGACTAAATATTCAGAAATTGTCTGTCTCTCCTTCTTCCTAGTCTGTCTACATCTGGAATCTCATCTGAAACTTTTCCACCAGGGATGACCCTACTGATATTTAAAATTCCTGTTGCATAGCTTCCAGAATCACAGCAACACACAAGCCACCACATTACGGCAAACTGACAGACGAATGGTAGCTTCTTT